CAGAATGGTTATCTTGCTGGCTTAATTTCCTATTTGCTTATATTTTTAATTTGGAGTGATAGTAAGATCTTAGCATAGATCATTTAATAATTCAGGGACCTGTAGACTAGTCTGCAGTAGTTTTGAAGGACAGGACTTTCAAGCACTGCTGAAGGATGTCTGTAAATTCCTACTAGAAACCCTTTCCACTCTGAGGAAAATCATGGATGTTGCTCCGTCTCATTGGGCAAAGTTTGCTAAAGTCTTAAGCAGAAGTTGTATATATATATATTTTTAAATCATTTCCCTTTTAATTACTCCACACATTTCTCCTTTGAGGGACCCCTCTCATGCGGAATAGGCTTATTCTCAGAAGAACAAGGGGAAGGAATAAAAATAAGCATTCTCTGTATATAGAATGTTTTGGTTCTACCAGAAAGAAGTAATCAGACAATGAACTACACAGGCATTTAGGACATAGATAATGTTGATATTTGTCACAATCAGCTTTCTATGTCCCCAAATCAACAAGGATAGTTAAAGCAACTAAAATGGAAAATAATGTAGGTGTTTATGCCTTTAGGAAGTGGTTCCCTTAATATATATATATTACTAATTCCGCTAATAGAAAAATATGTTTCCTAGAAACAGTTTGATTTTTCCCCTGGCAATATTCCAAATGTAAACTATGTCTTGGCACATATACATGAGTTCTAGAAAAGGCAAAATCAATCATGGGTCATAGAAACCAGATTAGTGGTTGCTTGGAAGTGGATTGCCTAGAATGGGACACAAGGGAATTTTCTGGAATGATAGAAGTGCTCTGTATGTTAATAGAGGTATGGGTTTCATGGATTTATGAAAACTAATCAACTTGTACTATTAAGATCTGTTCATTTATATGAATTATACTTCAATTTAAAAAACTTAAATATCTATCTTAATATTTCTCTAGTATTTTTAAATTTTCAAACTGCTTTCATTCTCATAGGTAAGGTAAATAGCCACTATAAAAATTATCATTTAATTATTTCTGAATAAATTTCTATTGAGGTAATTGATGTATAATAATGTATTAGTTTCAGGTGTTCAACATAATGATTTCATACATGTATATACTGTGAAATGATTACCACAATGAATTTAGTTAACATCCATAACCACACATAGTTACAATTTTTTCTTGTGATGAGAACTTTTAAAATCTACTCTCTTAGCAACTTTAAAATATACAGTATAGTATTGTTGACTATTATCACCATTCCAACCCCAGAATTTATCAAACTGAAAGTTTGTATCTTGTAGTCATCTTCATTCATTTCAACTACCCTTACTCCCTGCCTCTAACAATGACCAATCTGTTCACTACCTATGAGTTTAGGAGATTTTTTTCTTAGATTCTACATATAAGTGATATCATACATATAGTATTTGTCTTTTTCTGACATATTTCACTTATCATAACACCTTCAAGGAATTAGAAAAGAAAAACAAACTCAGCCCAAAGTTAATGGAAGGAGGAAAATAACAAAGATCAGAGCAGAAATAAGTGAAACCAGAGACTTAAAAAAAATAGAAAAGATCAATAAAACCAAGAGCTGTTTTTTTTTTTTTTAAAAAAAGATAAATAATATAGACAGATCTTTAGATAAACTCACCAAGAAAAAAAGAGGACTCAAAATCAGAAATGAAAGAGGAGAGGTTAGAACTGATACCACAGAAATACAAAGGGTCTTAGGAGACTACTATGAACAATTATACACCAACAATTTGGACAACCTAGAATAAATGGATAAATTTCTAGAAGTATACAACCTACTAAGTCTGAATACATTTTGAGGTAAATTTTAGTAATGCTAAGGTGTGTGTTGGTAGAGGAGAACATGGATATGAAGAATGTGGATATCTACCCCCTTTCATTATTTTCCTTGGGTCAGAAATTATAAGCCCTTAGTAACATCTGTAATTTCTACTTTATTACAAAGGGACACATTTCTTTCTCTCTTTTAAATATAGAAGCGTAAACATGAGCAAGCTTTTTTTTTTTCTAAGCAGGGACTCTGTATGCTATTTTTTTTTGTTGCAGAAGCTTCTCAGTCAATCTGTCCTGAGGTCCTTGAGCAGTTTAGGATAGCTCATTAAATATTAGTGAAATTGGATGGGATACACAGACCTAGGCTTGGCAGTACCTAATTAAGACCAATGGCCAATATAGTCAGGTCCCTTTTATTCCTCACAGGAAGGAAAAATCCTCCTGTGAAGTACCCACAGTGATTTCTCTTCTCTTCTATTCATTCATTCATTCATTCATTCATTCATTCATGTATTCCTTTATTTATTCCATATTGCAAGGTACTATGCTTTACTCTTTAAATGAATGAAAGAATGTCCGTATGATTGAATGAATGTAATCACTGAGGGCTTCAGTGTCCTCATCTTTTACATGGGAAGTTGAACTTGAATATCATTGAAAGGGATAGTGTGCGGGTGAGGATCATTTTTCTCATATCTCCAGTCTAAATTTCACAGTCAAAGCAGCAAGCTATAGAAAGAAAAATACTAAACAGCTCTCATTTGTACTGGGGCCAGACCCCCCTGCCTATGTAACCTGTAATGGGAAGTGTACCCGCCAAGGGATGAGCAGAGTTTTTATTGTCTGCCCCTCTACACACTGTGTGGCTAATGATAGATCTGTGCTATTTCCCTGTTGGCCACTCCTCTCAGACTGTGCTGACAGTGATATAGGCATCTGGAGCTATGGTGAGGTGAAGACACCCTTGTTTTCCCAGCAGGCAGCCCACCAATTCCACACATCAGGAGCACTTCCTTCAGGGATCTTGGGCTGGAGCTGCTTATTATTGGGGATAGGAACATTTTAGATACTGTCAAACTGAATCAAATCGAATTGTCCCAGCTGCCCTGTGCTATTGGGGATTATGCCAGAAACTGCTCATTTGTGGTCCATGCTATTGGTCTTTCCCTCCTGTCCTGTGATTACAGGAAAAAGGTCATTTTATGGTTCCTTATTCAGGATAAGCACGAAGAACCATACGTTATAAATCCTGTGACTCTTTATATTCAGGCTCATGGTGAATCTTCGTAACCATACTAATCTTATAATAAAAATCTCCTTGAAAGAATAATGTATATCAGTTGACTTGGCATAGAAACATAGAATGATGTCAAATAAAATGCTATTAAATGCCATGATTGAATAGTCATTGGGACTGTTGTGCATGGATGCTATTGTATGGATTCTTTCCAGAAGATTCTGTGATCATGTAGATATAATCATCACTCTGCAAGTCTATATTCCATAAATTCCCTAACAAATGCTCTAAACACCATTCTGACTGTTTGTATTTCACAGGCTCCACCAGCTTCCCCCTTTTTTGAATGTCTCACACCCTGACCCCTACTTGAGTCTGTCTTTGCTATTCTAAGAGGCCAAACTTAATTTTGATTTCCTTTTTTTTTTTCAAGGCCTTTCTTCAGCATCCCAGATCTCAGTGACCTTGGTTTTGGAGACCAAGTTTCATTTGTGCCGGGTCATGGAATTTTCTCATCTATTTATCTTGCTTGTTAGTGTTTGGTCACATGTATTCTCTCGCCTCTTTAAACCATGTGTTCTTTATACCTTGATAGAACATCAACTTCTTGAGGGGAAAGAAAATGACATGTCCTGTACAGTTCTGTGTCCCCAGAGCCTATTGTGGAATCATAATACATCCACCTCTAACACTGACCAAGTATATTAATTGTCCTTATTATACAGATAGGAAAACTAGGGTTCAGTTTGGTAGAAAATTTTAATAAAGTCTTATAACTGTTAAGTTTTGGGATAGTATGTGAACTGGGCTTTTCACCTAATATTCTTTTATTGTTTTAATTATTTCAGCTTTTAAATTGTATGTATTGGCTTGAGTAGGTAATGTACACAGGTAGTTAAAAAAATTCAAAGGTTCTAGCTCTCTGTTTTGCCACACCACTGGTGACTTAATACTGGCTTGTTCTCAAAATACCGTTATTTTCCTCCAAGAAGCCAGCTTGCTATTCTTACTTCTGGTGTTCTGTTAGTAGCTCCATGACAAAACCTTGGGCTGACTTTTATTTATCCCTTTTCTTGCTTGTCCAGTTAAGTGGTCACTAAAGACCAGCTCATACCTCAAAGGGCCTTCAAATCTGTACCTGCCACCTTCATTCTTGCTACCCCACCAGTTCCAGCCTTCACTCCCCCACCCAGATCATTGCAGTCTGGCTGCCTTTTGTCCCTTCACCCCATTTCAGTTCATCTCAGGGTAATCTAGAACCTTTCAGAAACCTGAAGGGAGTCCTTCCACCTTCCCATTGAGTTCTTAGCTCAGGGATTAATTGTTTTTTGTTAAACTGTCTAGTTAGTTTAGGTAGTCTGGGAAGCCATTCTCAGTTTTTAGATAATGGTTTTAAATGCATAAAATTAAACACATACGATTATAAAGAGAATCATTTATGATAACTATCAAACTATTTTAAAAGCAAATTTTGATACAATAAGTAACCTCTGTTGAATTCATTATTGTATGTAAGAAGTAATCCCTCATTAATACATTAAATAACAAGGTCTCCTAGTAGGTGTGAAACTGGCACCATTTCCAGGTAGCAATGAGCACAAATCGTATCTTGAGATACTCATAGCATGTATGATGTGACATGAGAACAACTGTGATATGTTTAGTCATGAGTCACAGGTCCTTCTGTTACCTTTGCAATAAAAGGAAATTCCAAATTTCAAATTTGAGGTTAGTGAAAATAATTTTTTTCCATTTGTGTTTATGGCCCCCAGGTTAAACACCCCTTTCTGAATCTGAACCTCAAGGCTCTGTGGGGTCTGCTTTCTGGTTCCTTGTTAAAGTGTGAGCTTTGAGTCCTTTAGCTACACCTGTGTGGGCTCTGCACTCTGCGCCACACAGATGGGAAAGGACACTGGGAAGCAGCGCATCTAACCTGACCCCTGCTTCTCTGCTTGGTTCCCATCTGCACAGGTAGAAGAAGGATGGTGGGAAGGTGTTCTCAATGGAAAGACTGGCATGTTTCCTTCCAACTTCATCAAGGAGCTGTCGGGAGAGTCAGATGACCTCAGCATTTCCCAGGATGAGCAGCTCTCCAAGTCAAGTAAGGATATCCCCACCACCATGCAGGAAAGGGTGGGGACACCAGTGGGTGGTGCTTCTGTCTTCCCTCTGCTCTCTAGCCTATGCCAAGCAGTTATGACAAAGGATCACAAATATATTTTGGTTATGCTGCCTTAACCCATGTGGTGTATTAAGCTTACCATTGTACAGGTGTGACCTGCATACCTTTATGTATGTGCAGACGCACACTCTGTCTCTGGATTGGTGACTGTCAACATACATGTCATGGTAATATTGCCTCATGGGTGACCCATGTGGCTGTGCCTTCATATACTTCTAAAGTGTCTTTCCCTCACTGCAAGTTGATAAATATTTTTAAATGAAGCAAATGAGATTGCTATATTTCTCAGCATCCCTTGAAGACCTTGGAGAAGAATGGCACACACATACGCAAATCGTTGGTGGTGAGAAGTCCTGGGTTTGGGACAAGTGCATGCCAGCTCCCTTAAAAATATGATGAGACAGCTGAAAGTTTAGCCCCACGTTGGGTGAGCATGCATGTCCCTCTGCGTTGGTGAGAACGAACTCCAGGTCTTTCTTTCTCCAGGGCCTGAAGCTCTCCTCCCTCCAGCTTCTCTGCTGCCCTTTCCAGCTCACGGAGCAAAAGGTCAGGACCGGGAAGCTTTGTTCTCCCAGTCGCTAACCCAACTTCCTGCGTGGGTGTCTGTGTATCTCTTGTGCTGTCTTGAGCCAAGGTCATGAGCATGAATGTCGTAAGAGGCTTGACTGTGTCATAGTGGTGAGGCACTACCTGGTGTTTTAGACTTCCCTTCCTGACAGGAGGAGGACAGCTCCATTCTGTCCACATCATTGTTAAACAGCTTTCTTTTCCACTTGGAAAAATCTCTCTTGAGTGGAGTTCTCAAGTTAGTTGTGTTTCTTTTATTTAACCAGTAGCATAATTGGACAAGTTTCCAATTTGGAGGTAAAGCTATTTCCAGAGAAATGTTCAGGCAACTTCCTTTATTTGATGCCTCAGCAGCTCATCATCCATAGAAGCAGCAGTGCTGGCTGGTTGGCTCAGTGGCTTTAGCTATACCCTTTCCATCTACTTCCAAAGCCTGGGGCCCCTCACCCCTGAACCCCATTTCTATCCTAGGATCTCTGATAGGAAGGTCAAAAGGTAATTTGGGAGCAAATGAAGCATCTTTGAGTTTTTGCTGCCTTCTCTGGCTCGGGGAGAGGGGGTTCTCTGCTAACATGGCCCAACTGATGAGTATGGTCAGGAGAGCAGAAAGTGTCCTTGATCCCATGATCAAGGGGAATTGCTATAGCTCCCAAATTACAGATTAGAATTCTAACTGCCTAGTGCTCCTTTTGTATACTGGAATAGTATTGTACCTTATAGTTATGTTCTATAATAACAATACCATACCTTAGGGGTGTTGTAGATTAAATGGGCTTTTTATTTATTTATTTGTTTGTTTGTTTATTTTTAGGGAGAACCAGATTGGGTTATTATATCATTATTTCTGTGGGGAAGTGCATGATGAGTTCCAATAGCAATAATGTGTATAAAACACCTCACTCATACAAGGCCTTCCATAAATGGTTATTCTTATTGTTAATCATGATAAACTCTTGGTACATAAACAGTATTTTGAGGCTGCTTAGTACCATGTTCACTGAAGCATTGTCTACATTTGGAAATTACTTAGGTATTCCTCTACTGATGCAGAAAAGGAGGTCAGGGGAGGTGCTGGGCAAACATTTTTTGAGAACTCTGACCTCTTAGTATCCAACCATGATTGTGATGCTCTAGTTAGTTTAGGTAGTCTGGGAAACCACTCTCAGTTTTGCCTCTTGTATTTTTGGAACTATTGAAATAAGCTATCCTGTTGCTGCAGGTCAATAATATATACATTTATCATTGCTCAGCTCAAAGCACACAGTGCTGGGATTCCTGGAACAGGCAGGAGGTTAGGAGGCTGAATGGCATGGTCTCCCCAGTCACGTAGCCTTCCTTCACATGCTTGCAAGAGGCTGCTTCTCTTGTATAAACTGCCTTCCCCCACACTCACTGAGTCCAAAGCCTTTCATTTCAGGACCAGGAGATCCCAATAATTTTAGCAGCTACATTTAGTTACCCTGGAATCTGTCCCTTGTTGAGGGGATTTTCAGGTCCTGAAGAGCATGGTCTTCTAAGAAAGATGGATGCTTCTAGTAAGAAATACATGGCTTTTATAATATTCATATATATATATGAAGATAAATATATATATATTTAAGGAGAAGAGGGTCCATCTACCCATTTCTATCTGTGTATCCTTATCTATTCATATATCCTTTCTTTTCTCTTTCCTTCTTTCCTTCCTTTCTTCTATTCATTCAACCTTTTTTTTTGAGCCCTGTTATCAAGACACTGTATAAAGCATTTAAGATATATAGAGGCAAATCAGATCTCTGCCTTCAGTTAGCTCACATTGCAGAAAAGGGGTGCACAAATCTGCAGAACTTCAAGAAAATGCCTCAGGTGCTCTGCTAGCTGGGTGTCAGAGGAACAGTGGGATACAAAGACTGCAGGCCATTCCCATGGGGATGTAGGAATGATGATGTCACAAAGGACTTCATGGAAAAGCAGATGTGGTCATAATGTCCCTATGGTTTGCTAAATTGGAATAATCTTTTGAAAGAGAAAGAAATAGCATCTGTCAGTGTTTGACAGGGTTTTCAGTAGCCATTTATTCCCTGATGTCAAAGTGTATACAATCACATCAGGTCACATACAGAAATTACGTATACTGGTAGGGTTTGTCTAAGTGGAACCTTCAATTTTCGAATGAATCTTCGTATTCCCTACCCTCAGAGAATAGTGTTAGTAGTTTTGATGTGGTTTATCTAAAAAAAAAAACACTTTTGGAATATTTATAGATTCACAGGAGTTACAAAAAAACAAAACAAAAAACAAAACAAAACCTGATTAGGGAGGCCCTGTATGCCCTTCCCCCAGTTTCCTAGAGGGATAACATCCTGTACAACGATAAAAATACATATTTATTTCATTATAGAACTGAGAAAAACAAATGTAGTTAATGCCCAAAAGACATTTAGCTTTTTTTTTTTTTTAAATATATTTTATTTGATTTTGTACAGAGAGGAAGGGAGAGAGATAGAGAGTTAGAAACATCGATGAGAGAGAGTCATCGACCAGCTGCCTCTTGCACACCCCCTACTGGGGATATGCCCGCAACCAAGGTACATGCCCTTGACCGGAATCGAACCCGGGTCCTCCAGTCCCCGAGCCGACGCTCTATCCATTGAGCCAAACCGGTTTTGGCGACATTTAGCTTTTTATTGTGGTATTAGCTAAACTGAACTTAATCAAGATCTTTGTTAGATCAGCCCACTTAATATTCTTCACAAATTACAATTACTTTTCACAGAGATTGCTTAATTAATAACATGGATCTGGGAGTAAGTTAAACTCCTAACGTTAGGGTCATTCTGGTAATTTTTAAGGATCCTAATGGCATATAAAAATCCTCTTAATTTAAATGTTAGCAGACATTAGTGTGGGTTTTTAAGACAGATAATATCTTTATCCTGATATACACTGAGTGGGCAGATTATTATGTGGTCATAGATCATAATAATCTGGAGACTCAGTGTTTATGAAGAAAACTTTGGGTAAAATGTATTCTTGTATATCTCTTTTACACACACACACACACTCTCTCTCTTGTATGTGCACATACTTATTTGGTATTTGTACTCTTCACATTTCGACTTCATGAAAGTATTTAAGGATTGTTATTCAGTTGAATTTTGTCAACCAATAGATAAATGCAATAGAAGAAACATTGCATTAGATTAATAAGAAAGTATGCCAAGATGTCTTGATACATGATAGGAGTTCACTGAATGCTTGCTGAATCCTGCCTTACTCTGAGAAGAGGCATTTTTATTTTGAGTGACAGGTGCAAATTGCTTGAGCTTGCTTTTCTTTTACCCTGATATATTTTTGTTATGGTGGTTGGTTATGAAAAATCTCTAAAATTTAGATCTTTGTTCAGGGTAATTTAATCTATCAAGAAAGTGTTACAGCACTTTTATTGGTTGATATGTCATTTTAAATAGTTTAGCTTGATAAGAAAATTCATTGTTATTTTTTAAAATATATTTTTATTGATTTTTCACAGAGAAGAAGGGAGAGGGATAGAGAGCTAGAAACATCGATGAGAGAGATACATCGACCAGCTGCCTCTTGCACACCCCCTACCAGAAATGTGCCCGCAATCAATGTACATGACCTTGACTGGAATCGAACCTGGGACCTTTCAGTCCCCAGACCGACGCTCTACCACTGAGCCAAACTGGTTTAGGCTCATTGTTATTTTGTAGCAGAAACTTTTTGCTACATAATTAAATTTGAAAACATTTCTATCGATAGAACCTTAATGGTGCTTTTAAAAAAGATTTTTATAACCCTTTTTGTTTGTTGTAAGTCTCCTTCCATCACCATTTATCTAAACCTTTTATTATTGAAAAGTTGAGAGTGATGTCCGACCACCCGTTTAGGCCCGATCTCAGTGGGACATGTAAACGGGCAGTCGGACATCCCTCAAGGGGTCCCAGATTGGAGAGGGTCCAGGCTGGGCTGAGGGACACCCTCCCCCTCCCTGCCACATGAATTTCATGCACCAGGCCTCTAGTTTTTCCATAAATACAGTCATGGACTACATAATGACATTTTTGTCAATGAGGGACCACATATATGATGGTGTTCCCATAAGATTATAATGGAGCTGAATGCAAAGATATGTAGTTCAGTATGATTTTTCTTCTTTAACAGGAGCATGATCTGTTTGGCCTGGTAGTAGATTCTCTCTCACTCGTAGCACCTCAATTTTTACTGTACCAAGTACTTCCCGCTGACCTGTTTCAGCACAGAAGTACCTATCCTCCCAGCACTACATATCCAGAAGGTTCTACAGCCCTCCCTTATCTAGTTTGGTGGTGGTCAGAGTACATGGCTGCAAG